ACCTCCTTTTCTGAGATATAAGTCGCGCAAGTTCAATCTAGAAACGGTGTGTAAAAATGCTCCTCCCGTACGGTGGCCGGTTATGGAGCACGCCAACCATGACATGGCGTAGGAGCAGCAATGGAAAGCGGCGAGAAATTTGGGACTGAATATTACAATTTTTCATTATAATATTATATTTTATGAGAAAACATTGAATCAATCATGCGGGGAATTGAAGTACTTAGTTTTATAAAGCCAAAAAATTCCTCGAATATTGTAAGAACGGCGAATAAACTGATAAATCGGAAACTTGATTGTAAACAATATAGTTCCTCGAATACATTAATTATATTTATAGCAAAAACTAATTAATTTGAATCTTGTCTTTCTCGATGATACAAGCCAAAATATTGACAGGTAAACTTCATTCATTTCCTTTCGGTGGAACAAATAAAAGAATCCATCGTTTGATCGAGTTATCCAAATGGAGAAGAGTGCGAAAAATTCGAGAAAATCGTTTCAAAAGTTAACTCAAGTGAACGCGACATTGTTGGTTCAGACGGTAAAAAATACGTTTGTGATACTTAAAAGGAGGCATTTACACTAAAATCTGGCATGATAAGACACCGAGACACAAAGTACAGAAAGTTTACGCACGGGTGTGAGAAAAAATTTGGGAGCCGATCCAATTTTACCAGACACCGATAAACAGTGCACAAAGATTATAAAGATAACGAACGCAGTAACTGTAAAACTAAATATAAGACTTCATCGAATTTGAGTTGACACGTCAAAAGGTCTCCATAAAATTCACAGAAAATACCTATTGGACAATTCTCGAAGCTTATAAAGATTACTTGCGTGATAAATGCGATAAAATGTTTGCATAAAAACGCATTAGAATAGTGTCGCAAAGAATAGCGCTTATTTCTACAAATTGAACTTCTACATTCTGTAAAATAATTAGAAGCTCTCCTAATTGATATATCCTTTTCCTTAGTACTTTTATCATTCAAAAATTTTACTTTAAAGCTTCGATCTTAATTTTTCGAATTTTTAAAAATTAACCGCATTATAACCGAACGGCAAATAAGAGTTTGAACGTGGGCGTCACGACGTTTCAAAGAACTGTGTGCTAATTTTCACGTGTTACATGTGATAATAACCGACATGGCGCAGAGTTATGGCATGCTTTTAGTGTAAGCTTCTGTAAAAATCGTTTTCTTTGCTTCAAATCGATCTTATTTCCTTAAAACCATAAAGGATTGCTATTTGCTTTCCATGAATTAACAAATATTTTATTTAATCTCGATTACAATACGTGTAAACTGCGAGGAATAATAATTTAGAGCGATTCATTTCAAGAGCAAAACAGACAGCGCGCGTGGCGTGTATAAAATCCTGATTCTCGAGCGTCGCAAGCCGAGTGCATATCCTTGACGATAAGTGCCGTTTATATCATTCAAACCAATCAATCAACATCAATCGCAATTGAGTGTGTGCATATGATATAGGTAGGTATTATTATAATTTCTTTTTTTTACAACTCATATGAGGTAATGTATGAATAAACGTTGCGCGGAATGAAAACACAGGCTGCTTCACGAGCGATAGTAAAAAAGTCACTCCATAAAAAAATCGAACATTGAACAAATCTAAGATCTATAAAAAGGTATCGATAAGTAAACTCATTATTGTATCGTCATGGACAAAAAAAAAGAAACTCGAGCGGTATCTCAGTCAAAGTCTAATCCCGAGTCGAGCTAGTATACGTATAATTTGTGTTTCAAATAAACGCTCGTTGCAGAAATGAGTGAAAAAATTGCACAGTCCAGTCGAGAGTCTAGTCGAGCGGCGGCCGGCGCGCAAATCACACACATGCACCGCAATGGTTGTCTTAGCGCCGGTGCGCCGCATATATATATATAGTGGACGACAGAGAGCCGAGAAGTTTATTTATAGGTGCCGATTATTGTGCAACAACAAATGACGACGACGACGACGAAGACGTCGACTACGCTGCATGCGTCTTTTACGTAACTTTATACTACTACTGTGCACACACTTTTACTATGCTCGCGCGTGTATTCTTATATATGCACGCGTACGCACGTTTTTGCAGACGTGTGCGCGTCGCGGTACGCTGACGCAATTCTTCTACGAAACATCGATTCCAGCTACTTTTTTTTTCTATATGATGCTACACTCTTCTTCCCTTCGCAAAAAGCAACGCATGAAATATATCAGCGAAGAGCACAACAATAGCGTTGAGTCGCGCCGTGCGTATCCTTGCCCGCGCGCACGATATAATAGACGTCGATTCAGATCCTTACGATTTATGAAGAAATTTGATTACGCGTTATTTGTTAGTATTAATTTAACGTTGACGTTTCTGGAGAAAAAATAATTGAGACTGTGCGTTGAGCTCGGAGTCGAAATACTACAATTTGGAAAAATTATCAGATTTTTTTTCGTTTCGCGAGCAAACTCGTCGATTCGTTTCGTTAGTTGTCTCGTTGCACTTATATGTCACACGTGCGCGCAAGCTCGTCACTTCTGTAATTTCGGGTGAAAATGCTAATCATCGTTACGTAAGAGCGCGTGCACTTTTTTTCTAATTTTCGCTAACCATGAAAGTTCCGATATTCAGTGGGCGTCACGTATACGCGGAAAATCATTTGAACGAACGCGTGTAATTGTCAACTAAGTATTGGTATAATACACGTCAAGCAGCAGCTGACGGGTTGCGTCAAAAAAAAAAAAATTCAGCCGTATTTGCAGTTGAGTAACTTTGGCAACGAGATAAAAAAAAATTGCGCACGTAGCTATATATCTAACTTTATGTTTCTTTTGTGCGTCGACGAGAACTGCAACTGAGTGGCGGTGTGGCGCCTGTCGTTTTGGGACGACAAAAATAAACTCTTTATTGTCTGCATTTAGATACCTCGCGCGGCGCGTTAGGCTCTCCTCTCTATGCTACTAATGAAGCAAACGGTCGTATACCTCTTCAAAACGCTTACCTATGAAAGATCCAAGTTTAAACTATTCTTTACGAACTTTCTACGTGTATTACAGTAAGCGCATAATTATAATGTGGACTCTACGTAAAATTATGAACCGATCCTGGTAGACGACAATTGTATCAAATTAATGACAATTCAGAAATAAAAGCCGAGATTTTTAAATATTAATTCACGTAAATTAACATGTAAAATCAGTTGAAAATTGTCATTGAAGTTCGTGAAAGGCATCGAAAGTATTCATATGCATCAAACATTAGAAACTCATAGAATCGTATTAACTTGTGTGAACTAGGTCAGTTGCAATGAGCTGATTAATGAAATTATCTGGATTCGACTTCGCGAGTAAAGATGATTCGACCCTTAAAACTTCGTAATTTAAAAAATTGTTCGAAAGGCGACAAAAGACCTGTAAATCTCTCACTTCGTTTTACGATGCCGGCCGGCCGGTCATTCAGCCTCTCCTCTCACTTTCCTGTCTGTGTAAGCTTCATATAACTACGAGGAGAAAACGATCGTACTTGAGAAATACTAGATCACTTGATAAAATACATTACAATCCGATGACATGACAGCGATCAAGAAGATCATAATATTTATTTGCAATTCTTACCTTGATAATGTAAAAATTGCTTAAAAAAAAAAAAAATGAACCCTCATATCTCTAGTTCTCAAATTTTTGTATATAAATCGTGTAGGGATACGTTCGACGGAATTTAAGTTATGCAATGCACACAGCAATTGGAGGGTAAATCAGTCAATGCCGATGTGAAAATATTCGTGTTTACATAACGCCGAGCATTTTTCAAGTGGCAAGATGTCGTGACCTGAAATATACAGCGTTTGACCCAACGCACACATACACATGCGGGCGCGCGTGTATTTAATTTCACCATTTTAAACATAGTACAGAGTGTTAATGGAAACATGTTCTTAAATAATTAATGATAGCGAATCGATATGGATATTTATCATTAATCACAAGCTACGAGGTTTGTGGTGTAGCGCGAGTGTCGTGCAAAACTTTATTTTTCGACACTCGCGCACATCAAATTCTACGAAACAAGACGAATCGCACATCTCGCAAATTTCTCGCTACAACGAATCTATCATTCTTTCCGCACCATCACCGAGGTTACATAATCATACGCAAAGTTTGAGTGTATCTGCGTCATGAATTCGATTCGTGTGTTATATATTTACGAATCTCTCGAGCGCAGCGGAAAAGCTCAAAGTTCACGCCGAGGACCTTGAGGTTTCGTTGTAACACTTTTTCCTCGGCGCCGCAACCTCGCGCTTTTCCACGCGATGTTAATAATGTTAAAATCAACGATTTTCCACCTTGCACGTGACAGTCTATGATATTCTGATATCTGCCTGTGCATGACGATCGATCGTTGATATTTGGGGGATTTTTTTAATATATTTTGGGAATTTTTCATGATGAGAGCACACTCAATTAGATGAAATATATGCATAGGAGCTAGTTGAAACCAAAATACGAAATTTATAAACAGCGAGTTTAAAGCGCCTCGATTTCGTAAAAAAAAGCAGTAATATTTTCGAGGCTTGTTTATCCGCTTATTTTTTTAAACTCAGCATTATACATTAAAACGTAAACGCGATCGGCGATAAAAATCAACGGATATAGCGAGTCGCTGGGAATTCCGATTACGCTGCTCCGCGCCGTGTGTGCGCGCTCGTAGCCGAGCGAATAGCGATCTCTGTTGTTCAACACAGCTGATCAGCTGAGAGAGCGAGTGAGCCTCGATTCTCAGCTGCGTATTTTATATGTACATAATGTATACGCGACTGCTGCAGAAGCCTGTAAATAGATAACGCGACGATTCCGTTTTCGAGCGCGTGGTATGTATCGAGTATACTGTATATACACAGCAACAAGCAGCAGCAGAGATTTTATATGCCATGAAATAGACGCTTCAATGGACCTCGAGAAACGCACATATAGTATATAAATATAAAGCAACACATTCTAACCTGCAAAAGTCGACGTCGTGTTCTTCGGTCGTCTCGACGATTTCCTCGAGCAGCTCTTCGCCGTCGGCAAACTCTGACATAATCTCGCGTTCTCGTTTACGCGCCACCATCCGCACTGCGTTTTACGTATACTGGGGATTGTGCGATAATGGGCAACTGTCAAACAGTACTTATGCGTGTATCACAAAACTCACCGCCACTTTCTTCCCGTTCTCTCGCTCGGAGATCGGAGCAAAAAAAAAATATCAACGATACAAAACAAAAACTGCGAGATCGCACACGGACGCGCAATTGGAGCACTGCGCGACGCACACGCACTCGCGGAGATATCAAAACAACTCGATTTACCGAAAAAATCACCAAAACCTCGTCCAACTTGAGTTATTATAATTCACAAATACACTTCTAATGCGAATTCGTTCATTGGTATCAAAACTACACTATTACTCAACGTTGCTGCTGCTGCGAATGCACTAATGCACATCTGCGCACGACGACGAGCGTTGACACGACGACGCCACTGCAACGCGCACTGATTATCAATAATTTATATTAAACCACTGAACAAGCGTCGTAGATATATACACTTTTTTGTACTAGGATTCATGTTTTCTTCTCTCTCTCTTTTATTCAACATGTACAGCGCGATTCGCGCGGGAAACAGCTGAGGGGAGTTGTCCTGTTGTCTCGTTGTTGTGCTCCTCCGCTGGTGTTGCTGGTGCTGTAGGTATACAAACAGTTGTTTTTCAAGTCATGCATATAGATGCACAAACACGCACACGTATAAAATGGACTAATAGTAGTAGTGTTTCCGAGTGTTGTGTGTACGCACGACGACGATTATTCGCAGGGAGGCGAAAATAAAAAACGGAGAAGAGGAGTATAAAGTAGTAAGTATAGTAGTAAGTAATGCAGCAGGCCCGCGCGCGCGGGGAGACACAAAGAGTGAAAACGAGAAAAAGAAGGGTACGAAAAAAGCGTGTGTTTGAGTGAGCCAGAGAGAGAGAGAGAGAGAAAGAAACGGCGTATATATATTTGTGCACGCTGTATATATATAAAATACCCAGCGCTCGTGTGTGTTTGCTGGTTTGTTGGAGCTCTGCTGTTGCCTCTCTGTTATATGACGCACTGGCCTCGAAGAAAGAGAAAGAGACAGAGAGAGAAAAGAGGTGTCTATGTGTGTGCGTGTGTGTCCGTGTACATATACGTGCGAAAGTAAAGTATATAAGGGCAAGTGTATAAGTGTATAGCGATTTTGCACAGAGCGGCTGGCTGTGTGACAGGCGCGTAGCACAAACTCGGAGTGCCCCTTCTCTCTTACATATATTTTGGTATGCGTGTTGTTTGTAGTCAAAAAATATATACACGCACTCCGCGACGGCGTCGGATTTTTTATTACATTATTATCGCTCTGAACGAACTTTGATTTTCATCCGCAGCAGAGAGTTTTACGTTCGCGGCTGTGGCATAAGACGGAGCAACGACAACAACAACGACACATGTTCATAATAATATGTGAGTACGCACGCACGCACAGAGACTTACTACTCGCGGCGGGTCAAGTAAGTATATTATTAGCGCGACGCAATCGTGACACTCGCGTACGCATATAAAAGTGTGTGTAAGAGAGATGGAATCCCGACGTTGTGATTGTATATAAATGTGTGTGCGTTGTTTCGCGTGTTTGTGTCAAGCAGCAGCGGCACAGAGAACGGAGCAGCGGCGGCGGCAGCAGCTGATCATCGGCAGGTGCGCGCGCGAAAGCAGTAGTGGCGCTATACAGCATATATATATGCACGCTTACTCCTCTCTTATACTATATGTTCAACCGGCGCAGCAGCTCTCGACGTACGTTGATAGTAGTATATAGTGGCCGTAGAATGAGCGCATGCGGCGGCAACACAACTCGGCATGGCACCGCGGCAGCAGCAGCAGCACGGCATGTCTCTCTTTCTCTCTCTCTCATACGTACAGCTCGGCTGCTCACTGCTGTGCTATATGTCGCCCTCGCGTCGCGTCGCGCCTCGCCTCGCTCTTCGGTTCGAGACTTTGGTTCGTTCGCTCGTTCGCACAGCAGCGGAGTGCACGTCAAACGCGCGCGCGGCTGACCTGACTTCTCTCTCTCTCTGTGCCTATATGCAGTCGGCTTACTTTTTTTTCTCTCTGTTTTTTTTTCTCTCTTCGTTTTTTTTTATTTATGTTGCGCTATCGCAAACTCCGGCCGCTGTCGCGCGCGCGCAAATCGTAGTAGTAGTAGTAGTAGTAGTAGTAGTATATAGTACACAGCAGTTATATATCGAGTATATAGCAGTAGTAGCCGCCGAGAACACTACTCGATTTTATGTGCCTGCGTATTACGCGATGCGCACTGTGCACTCTCGTCGATCGGTGTGTCGTATATAGTATTATAAGTACTATGTATATAACGAGCGGCGCACACACTGCACCGCGCACAGCCAGCCTATCTGCTGCTGCTGCACTTATGCCCCATATAAAAAACGACGATGCTACGCAAGGAGGAAACGCGACATTTTCTGCCGCACCGGATTCGTTGGTTTGTTTATAGTTTTTTTTCACCGAGTGCTTCTTTCGGCCGAGAGATGCGACGAGTGTGTGTGTATCGAATGTGTGAAATCTTACGAATCAAAATAGTAGTGGCGTAAGAAGAAATTCGACTCCGTTTTGACACCACTCTAGCTTATAGCTGCTGCACGGAATTGGAATCGTACAATTACACCGAGCATTCGTAGAAACGAAATATAGATATAACATTCCATTTGGTCATACCGCGGCGTATCTACCTGTAAACAATGTTTTTTTTCTTTCGATTGTCGTTGAGTGTGCATATCGATATAGTAGCAAAAATCGTGCGTGCGGCGGTGACGGCGATGGCGTGCTTCGGTACAAGTGTGCGTGTGTGTATTATAATATACGTGTGCGTGTGTGTGTGTGTGTGTGTGTGTTTTTGGTGTGTATACATAATATATACATACATCTATGCATTACACATGTGTTGACGTCTGCGCTACCCAATTGTCATGATGATCAATTCTCGACAGACGCTTTTTTCATCAAACTATCATTATTATTACGTACGAGAAATATAACACAATAATATCAACAACGCTACACGCGCGTTGGCTGCAGCAAGTAAGCAAGGTAATAATATTTTATGTATAAAACACACGCACGGGGCGGCGGCGGCACAACACCACACCACACGGCAGCTCGCACGCACGCACACACACACACGCTGCACAAGCGCAGCGCAGCACAGCACAGCACACGGCACACGACACACGCGCGATCAGCCGTGCTGTTGGGCTGGGACTGCTGCTGCTGCTGCTGCCGATGAGAGGAGAGCTCGGCGACGGCGCGGGCATGCGGCGGAGCGGAGTAGCATAGTAGGTAGGAGAGAGGAAAGAGCGAGACAGAGAGAGAGTAGAGTTGGCTGAGCGCAGAAACGACGCGCGCGCGACTTTTCTCCGCGCACACACATACACAGTATGATATAAGTGTGTGCGAACCTGCAGATGCGCGCGCAGAAAATACTCTGCTGCTGACTTTTGCACAACTGCAGATGGAATTGCCGTACGTCGCCACCGCGTCCCGCCGCCGGTCTCTCTCTCTCTCTCTCCGTCTGCGTGTGTGGGCAATATTACCCTCTCTCCATTTCTCTCTCTCGCTTGCTCCGAAACGTAAAACAGCGTGTGTATATATATGTATGACGCCGTGTGTTCTGCGAATATGCACACGCACACACGCACACACACACACACACACACACGCGCGCGCGCGTAAAATAATACATGTGTATGAGTGACGTCGCCGGTCGAGTCGTCGTCGCGCGATAAACCGTTCAGCTGGCGCATTTTGCATCTCCTCGCCCATGCTTATATATATATATATACGCTTACGCGCAGAGATGCCAGAGAAACGTAGTAGTACTATGCAGTCGTAGTAGTAGTATACTATGCAGTTGTAGTAGTAGTATAACGTATTTAAGCTCTTACACATCTGATGCGCGGCGGCGGACAAGTTGACTGATATGACAGCGTACTATTCATCGTGTAGATTAATAAAATAGGAGCTTCGATTATAATTTTATTTTTGAAATTCGATATGGAGCGAGAGAAATTATTATCGACGATGGTCGCGGCTGCAGTCCTCTCTCTCGAGCTATTTTTGCATAATGATAAATGTACGTGTAGGTATTACACTTGAACGCGTCATAGTCATCGTCGCATGCTTGCGGACCCGAGCGCATGCATGCGGCGAATCATCATGGACACACGCAGGATTCAGGAGGAGCAGCGTGCGCGGCATGGACAATCTGCACGCAAGAGCAGCTTGCGCACTCGCGACTTCGACGAGGAGGAGAGATGTTACACAAGCCGCAAAACCGCACGCATGTACGCGCAGTATGTGTATATATTTGTATGTATATGTATATGACGGAACGAGAGCGACGACGATGTATACGCACACATGCGCGACACGCACCTATATTATGATATACGTCATGTGTGCGTGTGCAGACGCGAATATTTTCCAAGTAACCATAGGGGCTCCTAAGAGAGGGACGCCGGGCGGGAGAGAGGTCGGTCGGCAGGCGTCGGATCGAGCGCAACGAGGAGTGGCAACAGCCAGCCAGCCAGCCGCAGAATGATGGTCTGCGGCCCATAGAGAGCAGCACCGTCTTGAAGCTTCGCGTATACTATACGACTATACAACGTATGTTATAATAATACACAAACTTACAACTTGCAAGCGCGCGTCGAGTCGCCTGCCAACGACTCCGTTTTTTTTTTTGTAAGCTGCACGTTGTTATCAACGGCGCGCGCGACTCCGAACTCGTCGTTGCACCCGACGATGGATTAGTTTAGTTGCAGTCGGCCGCGCGTGTCACGAATATCGCACGCGTCGGTGTTCAGGCCGAACACTCGAGTAGCGGCCCATGCTTGCCGAATGCCACATGATCGATGCCTCGCGCTCTTTGAATCTTGGAAACCTTTCGCGCGATTTACCATCATCGCCAGTCCGATTGCTTCGAACGTTCTTTCTTATTGGAAGCACTGATGAACAGCCGCCGGACAGCTTGTGGCGTTTCGTCGATATACATCAAATCGAGGAATATCGAAACGAGTACATGGATATTGGGCAACAGAATTGATTGCGAGCGGTAGATTTGAAAAAAATTGCGGACATTCTGGAGATGATACAATAACGAGCGCACGAGGGACACCGCGGAAAATAGTGGACACCACATTGGGTAGGGTGCAGGCGCGCTGCTAAGCTCCTATCACAGCTGGTGAACAGCTCCGATTTAAAGAGTATATACATATGAGTGTATATACGCGCGAGGACGCGCGGGCAGCGGCTCAGCTGCACATTCGCCGCGAGACCTATACATATGATGAGTGTGTAAAGTCGCGCGTGGATTTTCACGAGTCTTCGGTATATAACAGCTTCAGTGATTAAATATACGATAGCGCAGGGAGCCCGAGCTCCCGCAGCCCGGCCCTGCGCCGCTGCTCGCTGTGTACTGCTTCATGCCTGCCTACTTGTACTGCCTGACTGAGTGAGTATACGAGGCCTCGCGCGATGCATCTCTCTTCTCCCCCCCCCCCCCCCCCC